GAGCCACGGGCCAGCGTCTTGGGGGGTTCTCCTGTAGGGAACCCGGCCACCCTGAGAGACACAGCCCAGCCTGCCACTCCTTTCCCCAAACACCTGCCGGGGATGCTCCTGGTTTACTCGCGCCTGTCTCCGCGCAGAGGACCAGACTGGATGAGTTCCCCACCCACCTAGGCCTCCACAGGGATCCAGGGCAGCAGGTGAGCTCTGAGCGTGCTCGCGGGCGCGAGCGGGGGAGGGCTGGCTGGATACCGTGGGTGGGGCTGCAGCACATCCTCCCTGAAGCAGAAACATCGGTACCTCATGGAACGTGTACTGCCAAAAATATAGGTGGTGAGCAAGGGCTGTATGGCCTCTGGGATTTACACGTTGGGTGCCTCAACCCTTTTGTCAATCTAGTCCTTAGCCGCCTGTGATGCCTTCCAACGACCCCTCCCCCTGCAGGGCAAGATTCTCACAGGAGAACGAGTGAGGTATCCAAATTCCACCCAAATCCAGGATAATCCCCTTAGGTCAGTGGTCACCAACCAGTAGACCAGGACCTGCTGGTAGATCTTGGCACCTCTGACAGGGGATCCTGACTGGGTTGGCCGGGAAGCTATCCAACGCTGGCCCTTCAGTTGTCCCTCCACCCACTGTCCTGCTGCTCCTGCCCTCTGCCTCGGAGCTGCCCCCTGGGAGCCTCCTGCTTGCCTGGCAGGGTTTGGAAGGGAATGGGGGGGGGGCTGATGTCAGGGTGTCCCCCTCCCACTCCATCTCCACACAGAAGGGGATGGAGGGAGCGTGGCAATGCTCATCTCTGTCACTCTCGCACACTGTGTGTCTCATTCTCTTTCTCTCACAGCCACACACACACACACACACACACACACACACACACACACACACTCCCTCCCTCTCCTCTCCCGGCCCAACACACACGTGGGGGGTTGCTGTTACTTTCACTGCTTGCAGCGTGGGTTAGTTTTGGGTTCTGACTGGTCTGTGCATTTCATCATTTTCATTTCTCTCACACCTCAATGTGATTCTTTGCGTGGCGCGTTCTAAAATGCCGAACCGGTCGTGGCTGGAGTCATTATCCCAATGGTCATTGCTGCTCCTGGATGTGGCCGGCATGTCCCTGCAGCCCCTGAGAGAGGCAGAGCAGGGGGTCTCCACATGCTGCCCTTCCCACTGATCAGTAACGGGGAACCGTGGCCAGTAGAAGCTGTGGGGTCAGCGCCTGTAGATGAGGGGCAGCCTGTGGAGCCGTTGCGGCACATGCCGGCTGCTTTCAGGGGCGGTGCAGGGCCAGGGCAGGAATAAGCCGCCTTAACCCCACTGCTCCACCACCCAGAAGCCGTCTCAGTCAAACGGTGCCCAGCCAGAGCCTGCTTCCTGAACCCGTCCCTGCCCTGAACCTCCTCCGGCACCCAACACCTTCCCAGAGCTTGCACTTTGAACCCCTCCTGGGCCCCAATCCCCCACCCTGGAGCCCCTCCCACACTCCAAACCCCTTGGCCCAAGACCAGAGCCTGCACCCCAACCCCCTACCCCAGCCTGGTGCAAGTGAATGAGGCGGGGGAGAAAGGGGGATGGCGCGAGCAGGGTGAGGCCTCGGAGAAGGGGTGGAGCAGGGGCAGGGCCTCAGAGAAGGGGCGGGAAGGAAGCGGGGCCAGGGGATTTGGGTTTGAGGTAGATCTCACATTGCACTCACATCAACAAAGTGATCGTGTGGTTAAAAAGGTTGGCGACCGCTGTCGTACGTTCTTTGAAGAAGCTCAGCTGTACCCTACGGAGCACAGTTCAGTGAGAGTTCTGCCCGAGGGCTACACCGGTAGGGTGGCTTAACTCCACCACTCAGGACTGTGCAAACTGAGTAATGAAGTTGACCGGAGCCATGGCATAGCCACCAGATTGAAGAATTCTTTGACCAACCTAGCTACTGCCTCTCAGAAAGGTGGACTGACTTCAGTGACAGAAGAATTTCTATCTGTGCCACAGCCGTAGCATTTCTAGCACAGACACATCTTGAATGTTGTACACCGGCACAGGAAGCAGGTGTCTTCCCGCACCCTCTGCCACTCAGCAAGCAGTAGAGATGTGGCAGATGCCTCCTCAAATAACAACTTGGCCAGATTTTTGCAGAATTTTGTATTTATTAAAGTAATATTTCATCAATGTACAGAACGGACACGTTTCCAGGAAGATTAAGAAACATTTTAAATACTGTAGGTATAAACATTTAAAAGTTCTATTTTACTACCTTGTTTCCCAGAAAGCCTCCCATGAAACTCACTCTTAGCTGGACTGTTAGCAGTCGTTCTATTAACCCCGGACGAACGAGCATTATTCCCAAAACCCAGGGGTTTAAAATTATTGCTTCTTACCAGATAAAAGAGCAAGGTGAACACGTGAAGGGTTGTTATTAAAAATCGCATGACCCAAAGCTTTAGAACAGCATACTTTTTTTTTTTTTGGTACGGCACACTCCTCTTTTTTCCATTTCACATAATGCAGTTAGGACGACCAACGTTCTCCAAAAGCAGCTAGTGATTTTGGGTGCCCCACCTGCAATGCGTTAAAGCAGCCGGCCCTTCACAACTGAGTGCTTAGGACACCCTGAAAGCCAGCTTCCTTTAACGTGTCGAGGTGAGCACCAGCCGATGGAGGCATCCCCAAAATCACGAGTCACTTTGGGAAGGCGTTGGTCGATTTGTGGATCGAGATCCAGTGAAAAGATTTCAACAACCCAGTGTCTCACATGCTTTGCAAAACAGGTCGTCAGACCAGACTCTCCCTGGGAGCGACGTGCGCGAGACGCATCCTTCATCTCAGCACTAGCCTCGTGCAGGACTTAGCGCTCAGTCTGGAACAACCAGTTTCCAGTCTCAGGAGGGTGAAGAGGCTCCGGGAGGAGCAGGGCTTGATCTGCTGCTCCCTGCGAGGAGTAACTCCCGGGCTGAATAAATAAGGGATGGAATGTTCTCGTCATGCAGCACCAGCAGGGAAATGGGACGGAGTCGAACCACATCCTCTGACACGTGTTAGCCGTGTCTCAGACAACTACATCACGCAGACATTCCCCCTCGCTTGCTGCCTACTGAGGGACGCCTTGCCTTGGCTGCATGGCGGAAGAAAGTCTCATTTACATAATGCACCGCGCAGTACATTTCGGTGGAGGGATGAGAGCCCCATGGAGAAAGTTTTAATACGTGTCTAGGCAACGGCCGCTTTCAAAGGAGCCTATCATGGGTTCTTCTGACTATGAAGGACAACGTAGGGAACACAAAGTCATGGGCTGCCTCCTCCCCAGCCCCCCCCCCCGTATCTTTGCTTCAACATGAAGTTGACTGGAGCCATGGTGTAGCCACCAGATTGAAGAATTCTTTGACCAACCTAGCTACTGCCTCTTAGAAAGGTGGACTTACTTCAGTGACAGAAGAATTTCCATCTGTGCCACAGCTGGTCTGTTCGTCTACCCACAGGACTCCGGTTCCTACCAGCACTTGCGCCTTTCCCCCTGCATCCAGGCCCACCCGTTTGGTCCCCTGTGACTGGCCACCCTTGTGCACGAGAAAGTCATTTTGCTTGCACCCTCTCCTCTTGCACAGCCCCTGGTCTCCTCTGAAGGAAAGAAATCACATTGTGTCAGTGTGGCTCAGCAAGTGAGCTAGCCAGCTCCCACGAGGGCAAGGAGCTCGGCACCTCTCCAGTCTCTTCAGGGCGATGGAGCAAGGATGTGCTGCATTTCTTCTGCTCTCGCGGCAGGGGGTCTCTTCGGGTAGGTGACGCTGGCCATCTTAAAGAACTCCTCCGCAGCGTCCAGGGCAATAAGGCGATCCTGTCAAAGGAACGGAGGTGTCAGAATTGCTGGATGCCTGGCCTTTGCAAGAGTATCTATTAAAAAATGCCCTGAGAGAGGCAGGCTTCAGAACACGCAAGGCCTCACCCTTCCAGTGCCATGTCTCCAAGAGAAACTGGTGGCATAAAATGGAGGAAGGCTCAGAGGAATCAGGCTCACGATCTAGACTGCAGGCATTTCTCTTTGTGCCCAAGTGGGCCACCCGTAAAGCGCGGGACTGGATAGTCCTGTCTGGGAGACTGAGGTACACTGGACTTTGATCCTTTGCATTTCACTACTGATGCTCTTTTTGTGACCTCATTAACAGAGGGGGTTCACTACGGCCTTGTCTACACTAGCACATTTTGTTGCCAAAAAACAGCCTTTTAGTGACAAAAGTGACAGCGTTTACTCTGCAAAGTGACTTTTGTCAGGAAAAACACCCAGTGTTAGTGACAAAAAACTTCAAGCCCCGCTAGAGACGTTTTTTTCTTTTTCCCTCTCTTTATTGTTGGCCAAGAGCCAGTGTGGACTCTGCTGTCTGTTTGGTCGAGAGAACTGGATTCTGCCAGTATCCCACAAGGCCTTCCCTGATGGCTGAGCTCAGTGTTCTGTGATCTCTGCTGCCCTGCAGGCATGCCTCCCCTCCCCCCATCCCGACCTCCTTTCAAAGCTCCAGGAAGTGTCTGACACCTGAGGGAGATGCTCACTTTGAGAAACAAAGAACAAATCCTTGGAGTGCTCCTGTTCTGCCCTGCTAGGAACACAGTGACAGGCAGATGGCTGCAGCAGGGGGTGGGTTGGAGAGGCTGCAGTGCTGCTTTGAAATTCCTCAGCACAAAGAGCGCACAGAGCTACGAGGGAACCCCAAGAAGAACAGGGAGCAGCTCTGCCTTCCCACCACATTGCCCTGTGGGAGGCTTACCCACAGTGCTTTGCTCTGTCAACAAGATGCTAGCCACAAGGCCATGAATTGTCAACAACGGGAGGCAGAAAAACTGGTTTGACCAGTTTTCACTTTTGCATGTCGACAGCACTTCCATGGCCAAACCTTCCCCGCCTAATGTAGGGACATTTAGCTACTTACCACCACGAAAAGATAGCGCTCAGAGAGCTCCCAGTTTCTGGGGAAAATGTTTGTCTCCTCGCAGAGCTTCAACAGGATCTCCCGGGCTTTGCTCATGTTCTGGGAGTCACTGATGATGCTAAGTTTAGTCACGGATAACAGAGAGTCTGCTTCCTTCTGAAACCCTACGACAGAGATAAAAATCGCTCCAGTTTAAATGAAAGGCACCAACCCACCCAATCTAGCCCTCTGCTCCAAACATCTT